TTTCTGCCCGCCTTCGACTCATGCTGCAGTCAGCTGCTGGGGAATTTGGTTTGTTTTTCATCTTTGCTGCTGTTGTTCCTCACGTGGAACCTCTGACTCCTGCACACCAAGCAGTTCAGGACGCTGGTGCCAGGTCCACCACTAAAGCACGTTCCCCAGATGCCACATCTACACGTTTTTTTGAACACTTCCAGGGATTGTGAATCCACCACTTCCCTGGGCAGCCTGTTCCAATGCCTGGCCACCCTTTCAGTGAGGAATTTTTTCCTAATACCTGGTCTAAATCTCACCTGGTGCAATTGAGCCCATTTCCTCTACACTGGTCTGTTTGAATATGGAAGTTCTTATGTCTTTGTGTTGTGGCCTCAGTCTTTAAGTCTCTCATGACTGAATTTCTACAACCTCTTCTTCCTTCCATCCTTGGACCCGTGCACCAGGGAAGAGTTAGTTGAAGAGTCCAGCCAAAGCTCTGACCATCTGATTTTTTTTGTCTGAAAAGGATTAGGGTAGGAAGGAAATACAGGAAAAGCCTTTTAATGGAAGCCCATAAGCCCAGTCTGTCGTGTCTTGTCATGTGCAAGCCTTCAGGAACTCTGGGATGGTGATTTGTGATGCTGTTCTTGGAAGCTGGGATGCACACTTGGGCTGTTCAGCACACATCAAGGGTTGTAAAACAAGTGGAAATGGCACAAATGACATGAAGATGAATATGAAAACTTTTGTCATCAGATCTTTTAGACCAGGGGACTCTAAATGGCTCTGTAACTCAGATTTCTTCCTAGCAGTGCTGTAATTTTTGTCTGAAGCAGCAGCTCAGCCCACAGTCCCCTCATCTCCCATTTCTCCCCTCTCTCATGTGGCTCTCTGCCCTCTTGGGAGGCAGCTCTCTGATCTCTGTGCTCTCATTTTCCTGATGTTGCCACTGCCACAATCCCCAAACTGTGATATCTCCCCACTGAGGCAAGAATAACCCCAAATTCCTTAACTTCTCCACTTCGAGGGAACTCATTCATGCCAATCACTGTGCCTCTAAGGAAAGCTCAATTCACTAATATATAACACAGCTTAATGTGTTTTAAATTCCAGCTCCTGCCAGTTAGGATGTGATAGGAATTCCTTTCCAGTGCTGCCTGTGAGGGCAGTTATTGCTGTTCCTGGAGCACAGGCTCACTTACTTTTCCACTCCATGGAGTGAAACCAATAATTAATCAAGGAGAAAGGGACTGTGGGGCTCATTGTCACGGAATACTGTTATGACTGTTTAAGTGTTCAAAATGGGACAGGCCATTTTCATGAGTAACAGGAGTATTTAAATTTAAATTAAGGCTTATAAATTTAAGCTGCCTTCCATCTACCAAGAGCCAGGTAAAGACCTGTGGAGGACAAATTACCCCTGTGAGTCTTATGAGTTTTTTTTTCCTCAGGCTTTGAAACAAGTGAGTATGACAATGTTGGCTTTGTCCTTTCACCAAACATTAGCTGGGCTGTAGGTCACCCATTAGTCACTAGCTTTGTTGTCCCTCAGTTTGGGACGTGTTCCTCATTCACTGGTCACCTCAGACTCCAGCCTGGCTGCACAGATAAACTCAAGGCACAGATTAAGCTCCTGAGCCCTGCAGAGCAGTCACATGTGAACAGTGCCTGAATGAGGGAACCCTCACCCCAGTCAGGATCCCTCCAGATGCTTTACACGTGCTGAATTACAATTATACCACCCACCAGCGGTGCCTGAAAGTGAGAGCAGCTTCCTCGTGTGGCTGCCAAGAGATTGTTCCCTTGTTACACTGACTGAGTTAACTGCAGCCCTGCATTGCTGTGCCCTGCAGCCTCCACACACTCCATCATCCTGCTGTTCTTCCCTCCCCAGTACAATCCTGACACAGTCATTTCTCAAGCTTTCCCTGCCCTTGGCTATGAATTGCATTACTGCCACTGTGATTGCTGTGCTGGTAGTAGTTAGGAGACAGAAACAAGCAGAAACCATGGGCTCTGGGCTCCTTATAAACAAAAACGAACTCTGAGTCTCCAGCTGGGACTCCTACTAAAAGGAAAAGGAAAACCAAAAAAAAAAAAAAAAAAAAAAAGGAAAAGGTTAAAACTATTCTGTGCCTGAGGTCACATCACTGCCTGAGCTGTTTAGGAAAGTCTGTGGCACTTTCAGACACGTCTCTCAGCCTCTTCTCCATGGCTCTGTTAGTCCCAAAGACAGGAAGCTTTCCAGCAGGTGAAAGCATCTTATTTACCATTTGAGCCACACGCAGAGTGTCTCCAGAAGGGAATGAGGTGATGGTGTGAGATTGCTGGTACCCAAAATATGGTTTTTGCTGAAGGTAGTGGAACATGGGAGGCAACTACCCCTGTTTCCCACTCAAAGCCAAGTCTTCAGGTTTCATTTTGGTCCATTCCAGCTGCTGGCCACATCTGTGCCTTACCTAATTTTACTCCAGGGACACACCTTCCCTCAACACATGCGGCTTTTTGAAAAACAAACGGTGTTTTGATCATAATTATCTGTAAAGACTGGAGGTTCCCAACACAGACCAGACCCTTTTACCCTGTGTCCTCCACAGACATCACTGAAAGGTTGAAGGATGCAAATTGAGGGGCAAAGAAAAAAAACCATCAGGAACCAAAATGTTGTAAGGAGGGCAAAGATAATGTAGAAACAAAAATCATAGAACCATTAAGGTCAGAAAAGACCTTTGAGACCATCAAGTCCACTGAGTTTATCTTAAGACACGGAAGAAAATGTGGTTTTGATGACCAGGGTACTACTGCAGGGAAAAACCCTGTTTCTGAACTGAACCAAAAAGTCTACAGCTATTTATCCGATCCTTTCTGCCTCTGTGTCCAGTCCAATGTCCTCCTGTAAATCCTGTGCAAATAAGATTTCCTCTAGTCAGATTTAGCGATGTTCCAGCATATGGGATGATTAAACTACATCCAAATGGACACCTGCAGCAAGGGCGCTTTTTTTCCCCCTCCTTTATCTTATCTTTGTCGAGAAATACATTCAGTTGGCAAGCGTGCTGGATCTGTTTTGTTGTCAGAGCTCTCCAAAGCAATTAATTTCGTGTCAGTAACTCCACAGTTTGACCTGAACCTCCTTAGTTTTAGTCCCCTGCCTCCCTCTCCCCCTAGAAGCAATGTTTCAAATTCATCCCATTAGCTGCTAATCCTTAACCTGAATAAAATGCGTAGGTGAAGAGCAGCTGCAGGACATCTATGTGCAGAATGATCAACAGAGTGAGGACCTTATTAACGTGTTTCAAAGCCTGCCCAGAGCCACAAGGATTCCTGGGGTTCAACATGAGCAGTAGTTCGTTGCCTCGTTTCTTTTGAAAGCCAAACTATGAACTTTTATTTTGTTAGAAGTGTAATTTCCAAAGTGAGACAGGCGTCTGACAAGCTCCATGGAAGCACAAGTTACACCAGGAGCAGCGTTTTGGGGGGTTGTAGCTTAAATGAAAGAGAATGAATCTGAGTAGCTGAAGATTTGTTTTCCAAATTGACTCTAGTCATGAGTCACCGAGGCTCTCAAAACCAGATACCAATTTCATACTTGCAGCCTGAATTGTTAAACTCAGAGACTATTTTAACATTGACTTAGTAGGGTTATACCTCTGAGCATCTCTCTGTATCTCATATGTGTCTTCTGTTTGTTTTTCTGCTGGATTGCTTGAAATCTCTGAGGGATTTGTGAGGCTGAAGGACACAACAGAACTGCTTCTAGCCCTGAATCTGACTAATTTAGTCCTGGGAAAAGCGCAAAAAGTGTTTTATGATAGGAAAATGGTGTTTGTTATTAAGAAAACTGTCTTGTTTGTCATGCAAAAGACCTGAGGCAGCAGCAGAGTTGGTTCGTGGATTGTGCCTCTCTTTTTGCTGTCACTGGGGTGAGCTGCAATCAGTTCCAGCTGAGCAGGTTTGAGAACACCACTTTCTGTGTCCCGGGATATCTGACAGCTCCCTTGGCAGGCAGGGAGACTGATACAGCAAATGCTGAATCCCAGGAAATGCACTGTCTGTTTGAACCCTTGTGGAGGTGATTTTCTTAATTGGACTGGTTTGCCTTTAGCAGAGAAAAGATCGTTTAACTGAAGACTCTGTAACTGCAACACTGCAATTTGGCCTTTACCATTTCACAAAGAGTGAGAAGGGAAATGCTCTGGTCTTGAATGACTGAATCTGTAACGAGTAACTCTGTCTCACTTCAGTGGTACTTTGGTTTCTGGCATCCTCATCATGCACTGGCTGCCTCCTGGAGCCATTTCCAGCAGTAAACACTGTTTAAAATCTCCCCTCTTTTGTTTTATGGCGCTGTGTCCCAGCTTACTGTAGCTCTTATTTTACACTGTGCTCATATTTTACTTTGCATCTGAATGGGAGCCGGAGAGGGACTAAAAACAGATAAAAAATATTTTTTTTATGAAGGAGGGTGTGCAGCTCTACCTTGTTTTGGAAGGCTTTGTAGAGCCCAGGATTGAAACCAGGCAGTCTGTGCTCTCCTACTGCATTAACTGTGAACTTCACACAGGGGAGCCTGTTCAAGAACTAACCAAATGTAAACTATTCCAGCTTTGCCACTCCAGTGCAAATATTTGTCACCAAATGTCCTTTTGTGAGCAACTCAGCAGCCTCCAGCGCAGCCTGGTGACTCAGGGGTTGTTCCATCTCCTAGGGATGGAAGGGAGCAAAACCAATAACCAAGGATTAAGTGAGCATTTGAAGATTTGATTTTCTTTCCCACTGATCTTGTTTCATTTGCTTGAATTGATTCTTGTCAAAGGGAGCTCGTCGTGTTATCAAGACAAATTGCTGTACGTGGCTTTGCAAGAACAGTTGAACCTCCTGTTTCGAGGTGTAAGAGAGGGATTGTGGGGAGGGGGGGGAGAAGAAGCAGGAGGAATTTTGCAAGTGACCAGAATTAACTCATTTTATATAGTCATTAATGTGGACATCCACTACATGTGTTGATTTAAATGCATCTCCCTGTTTAGGAGTATCCGATGCCTGAGGAATATTATCCACTGGAATTTGATCACCACATTCATCCTGAGGAACGTGATGTGGTTTCTGCTCCAGATGATAGATCACAACATACACGAAAGCAATGAAGTAAGTGCTTGGAGGCAGCATCTCTCTGCCTTGCAGTTTGGGGGCAGGCAGGGGTGCTGAGTTTGTTCAGCTGAGAGAAATATTACCAAGGACACTCATCCCCGGGCTCTGAGTGGCTTTCATGCAATTTCAAAAAGGTGAAGAACATTAAAATGAGCTTAGGTTTTCCATTGATTTCCTTATTACTGAATATCAAAGGGGATTTTTAAAGTAAAAATCCTACCGGAAAGCTTCTCTCATCTCTTCACTGACCACGGATGCTTTCCAAAGGTATGTATTGTAAGACACGATATTTTGCAAGACACTAAAAGGAGTGGTTCCTGAACATTTTTGTCAGAGCATCTTGCAGTGATCTGCACCTCTGTAGGGAAAACATTCATTCCAGAGGGCAGCAACTCCATGAACAGGGACAGAAGTCATTGTTTTGGCTGTTGAGGGTCTGAGTCAGCTACTTTGTCTGATGACAGCGGGGACGCTCATGCCTAGAGTCAGCAGGACTCCCAAAAAATAAAAAATAGGGCCTGAAATGGTACAATTTTTGTTGTTGATGTATTTATGGGGTTTTTTTTACAAAATCCTTTCTTCCTCGCGCTGGCTTTGAGGATGAAGTTGTGGGATATGGGCTGCATCCAGCAGCAGCTCCTTGTCACTGGAAGGGATGGCTCATTCCTCCAAGGACTCAAACACTTCAGTCCGGCTCCTGCTGCTTCCTTTGCACTCGCTCTGTTCCTTTTCTTGATCTCTTGGGGAGGACTGAACTCTTGGCAACTGAACTCATTAAACTGGCAGAGAACTAACCCAGACATCAGAAAAGCAAGGAGGAGTTTCCTGCTGGCATAGCTAAGTCAGCTTTCTGATGGGTGATTGAGAGTCAGAGACAGTTCAGGGGGCCAGACAGGTCCACACATACACATACCAAAAAAAAAAAAAAAAAAAAAAAAAAAAAAAAAAAAAAAAAAAAAAAAAAAAAAAAAGGAAGGCTGGAGGCAGAAAGAAGTCGGGCATCTTCTTTGCATGGCATTTCTCTCACTGTCCATGTTATTTCTTGTTCACTCAAGTACCTCCCAACTGCAGATGCTTCTCTGAGTGAATCAGTCCCTGTGTAGGTACAGTAATCACAGAATCATGGAATGGTTTGGGTTGGAGGGAGCGTTAAACATCACCTATTCCAAGCCCCTGCCATGAGCAGGGACAGCTTCCACCAGCCCAGGTTGCTCCAAGCCCTGTCCAGCCTGGCCTTGGACACTTCCAGGGATGGGGCAGCCACAGCTTCTCTGGGCAACCTGTGCCAGGGCCTGCCCACCCTCACAGGGAAGAATTTCTTCCTAATATCTAATCACACCACCCTCTTTCAGTTTGAAGCCATAACCCCTTGTCCTATCAAAGACATCAAGGTAATCAGCAACCCCAGCAGTACACAGATTTCAGAATGGAATGAAAACATCCACTCCAAAACAAAAAGCTTTTTTTCTTTACTTTTTTTGGAGAACAGCTCTACATTTCCTTGACAATTAGTCCTTTTTGATAGTCCCTTAGTAGGGTATTTTACTGATCTCTTTCCCTGGTAATAATCTTATAGTTGAGTATTCCCCTTTTGTGGATGTCCCCTGATATTTAGCTCCGTAACCAAGAAGAAGAGTGTACTACAAATACATATAGACACACCAACACCCCCACCCCCCCCCATACTCTCTGTCTTTGGAAAGCAGATGGACTAAAATGCCTATAGACTATGATCTGGATTCACACCTGCTACCAGTCGTGGCTCCACTGGCCCTGTACAAATGGAAAATGGATATCCAGGAGCCTGGATATGCATTCATTTGAATGTCAGCTGGACACTCATCATCCTTGACTAACTTTTCAAATGTAAGATTTGACATCTCAACTTCAATCCCATACTTTGGGAAAGCAAACAGAAAAATCATTAGTACCTAGATAAAGAAGAAGTCTATGCATAAATCTCCATTGTTATTCATTCAGATGCTCCCTTGGGAAAAATGTACCTTCTATTAATTCAGTGTTTGCTTTGTCTATGTTTCTGACATTCTCATACTCCAGAAGGTGGTGTGGGAGCTTTAGGGACAACAGTTTTATGCTGAGTGACTTACCCTCATGACGACGCTGCAAATCTTAATACAGATTTTTACAGTTATTTAGGAAAAATCTGTTGGAGTCAGGCACTCAAATGCCTTTAAAAATGTGACCACAAATTGCCAAGGAAAATAAAACCCTGCGAGTATTAAGAACAGATTCTCATATGCCCCAGTTTTCATTAACTTATCTTTTCTCTGCAGAGCAATGCAGCCTTTTCGGTGCTTTGTACAAGTCTGAGTGATAACTTTATTTTTCCTTTGGTATAACAAAATAATACCACGAAAATCAATGGGAACAACATCATTTATGATGGCTAATAATGTGATCTCTTCTGTGCTGATCAGTGGAGATTAAATAACACAGTTAGAGAAGCATCAGGGATTCAACATCGAAATATTTTGCATGAAATTATAGTGCTTAGAAATAAATCAAGAAGGGGAATTGTTGAAGATATCTGAAACCTGCTGGTGGATACACGTGGGGATCAAGAATCCTCAGTCAAATAAACAAAAAGATGTAAATTAATGAGTTCAACAAATGGGGTTTATTATTCAATAGTAATAAATCCACAATTCCAAAAAGGAATTGCTCAAAATTTATTTTATTTTGGTCTCCATGGCAATGATGCAGAAGGATATGTCACCACCACTATGTCTGTTGTCTGTATCTGTCCCAGTACCTTCCCAATCCAGTTCCACTCAGATATAATTATTTTTTACAATTCTTCAGAAAATGGGCAGCTGTGGAAAGGACAAAAACCGTGTAAATCTTGTAAGGGAGGGAGAGAAGTGAACAAGAGTGGAGACACTCTATCAGAGCATTTTCATGGGATTGAGGCCCGAGGGGAAGATTTAATTCATGCTCATACCTTCCAAAAAATCAAATGTGAGAGTTAAGAGTCTTACTAGTGTGGGGGTCAATCAGTAATGGGGTCAAAATATTTGTTTGGTTTTAGGAAAAAAAAAAAATTTGATTTGTTTGTTTGTTTGTTTATGGCTTAATTTTCCTTTGCTCAAGCCAAAATGGGAAAAAAAAATTTGGTTTAAAAAAGTTTTGAAAACAGAATGTTTTCAAAAAACTTCTTCCAAGTTGTTTTGGTTTTTAAGGATGTAGCCAAGCCAAGTTTGAAATATTAATGAAATAATACAGAAATGAAAGCTTTAACACATCCAAAAGATTTTTTTTTTATTTCCATTCGATAAACAAATTCGCAACTTGTGAATGGGCTGACGTTTTGTAATTGTGTTTCTTGCCCCATGAATTCCCAATCTCCAGAATTTTGCTGGGCTTGATGGCCCAGAGACCATCCACACCTCACGCATATGGGGGCTGAAATAAAATTAACTGCGGGTCAAAAGTCGCAAATACTTCAGCAGAGTTAATTAAAAGTCTGGATAACGGTGAGACCAAAATGACAGCAGTGGTGGCAGTGAACACAGGTAATTAGTGTCCTGCTGCAGGGAACAGGCTCAGCACGTACCTGGTCACAAAGATGTTTTCCCAGACTCCTGCGTGGAGCACTGTGGAAATTGCCATCGGTTCCTTGTGATTTATTGATGGGATGTTGCCTCCTGGAGCCTCTCTCTGGAGCTCACTGTGATTCTACAGCTGTGCCCTCACCTCACAGCCGTTTGGAGGAGGTGCCTGTGCTTACACGACGGGCCTGACCAAAAATTCCTGAGTTGGGTTTGTGGCAAAATTCAGAGGTGATGCGTGACAGGATGTGACTTACAGAATGAAGCACAAATGGCAGGAACAGAGGGGATAAAATAACTGGTAAAAACATACCTTTAAAGCACTTTTTTTTTTTTTTTTTTGCCTAAATGTTAGTAGTGCTCCTTCCTTAATGGGAAGGAAATGAAGCAAGACTGTGACAATAATATCTACCTTGTCTTTGAATTGCTCAGCAGGTGGGTTCTCCTGCCTCAAATATACAGATATTTAGATATTTAGACTCTCATGTTATCTTTTGGTATGACCTCAGGAGATGGCTGTGCCTCTGGAAGATCATCTAGGGTTAAATGAGCTACTCCTCTTGTGTTCTCACACTGCTTGAAGGCTGCTGGTGTGGATTTGCCTTTGCCATGTTGACTTTCCACACATGTTTAGATACAGGAGTTCCTGCATGTTATGGTCATAACCAGCCTCAGCAGAAGGTCTCAGATGTAGCTGTGAGCTACCAACAGCGCCCAAGATACCGTGATTCCAAGTCACCGGGAAAATCTGTGACCCATGAATGAATTCTACCCATTGATTTTTGCGGGGATTGCGACATACAGAACCTTTTAATGTTCTCACCGTAATTTTAAAACACTCTCCTCTGTTTCCTCTCCAGCCCTGGTGTCGATGTATCACCACTGTCTACAATTATTTTGTGGTGACCAACTTCTTCTGGATGTTTGTGGAAGGCTGCTACTTGCACACTGCTATAGTGATGACTTACTCCACGGATAAGCTAAGGAAATGGGTCTTTCTCTTCATAGGATGGTGTAAGTGGCTGCTGTGGCTAAAATGGTGTTATCTGATGGTACCTGACATTAAAATATTAAAGACAAGAGCAGCAGGAATAAACTTTTTAAATCCTGCTGGGGCAAAATCTGACATTCAGACCTAACTGTGTCAAAACAACAGGAGATCAGGTTTAGTTCTTCGCTGCGGTGGTGACATAAAGCTGGTAGGTTATCACCTGATTTGTCTTCATCCTCAGGGACCTGGTGTTCAGGAAAGAAAGAGAAACTCCCAGGCTCAGCCTTTGGGAACACAGTATGGACAGTAGTCCATACCACATCCCTTTCACTTCAATCAGCAAAGCAGTGACAACAACCCCTCATACAATGCTGTTCAACACAGCACGAAGCAGAAAAGGCTCTGTCCATGCCCAGTGGAACACTCAGTCTCAAGAGACACTTCTAAGTGGGGAGCTGACTATCTGGCAGATAGTCTGCCAGTCCAGCTTTACAGCTGTCTTTTGGACTGCTGAGGGATTTGTTCCTGGAAAACGGCTTTTAACGAAGAGTCCCCGTGTCATCTTTGTGCTATCCCTGTGGCTACTCAGACTCAGCTTTGGTGAGGCTGCCTTTGGGATACTGTGGTCAGTTATGGTCTCTCAGGTCAGAAAGGGATGTGGAAAAGCTGGAGATTATCCAGTAAAAGACTATCAAGATGTTCAGGGATCTAGAAGACCTGACATGGGAAGTGAGGCTGAAGGAGCTGAGCTTGTTTAATCTGGCAAAGAGGTAGCTAAGGGAGGATCTGTGAGGTACCAAGAATGATTTGAAAGATAATTACAAAGATGAGGGAGCCAAATTCTTCTTGGTAATTGCAGATTTTATAAGAAGGGACGACGTCCACAAATTCCAGACTGGGAGGTTCCAGCTGGACATTAAGAAAACAGAAAATGGAACAAAAAGTGGTGCAACACTTGAACAGATAACTTAAAAGCTGTGAAATCTCTGATCCTGGGAGGATGGACAATTCATCAAGGTCAAGACCAGGCTGGGGTGGGTTACTGCTGATAGTTCTGCTTAGAGCAGGTAATTGGAGTGGGTACATTCAGAGGTCCTTTCCAACCAACATCTCCCATGTTTTGAACTTGGCCAGAGGATGTTTGGCAAGACAAGCCCTGTGCAGGCAGCTTGTTCACTTGAAAGCAGAATGTGAGGTCAGACAGAACCAGTGAATTTGGCAGTTCTTTTCTGCTGAAACAAGAAAGGTGGAAAAGAGTCACCAATATTTTCTGTTCTGCAAGGAGGAAGATGTTTTGTTCGGAAACGCCTCTCCCTCTCAGAGTTGTGCAGAAGCAACTGAATTGCAGTTCTGAGGGCAGAAACGGCCTTTGAGACAAAATATGTCATTCAATCCAAAATAGAATGGGAGGAAAAGGAGTTGTAGGAGAAAAAAAAAGTTTATGTAGGGAATTGATTCATTTTTTTTTCCCCCCAGTATTTTTCAGTTCTGTCACCAAACTGGGAAATCATGGATCCACAGACTGGTTTGATCCATGGTGTTTTCCCTCCCTACCTCTCTCAGAGCCCTACTAATGCAGGAGTGGTGTGGGCTGAATACACCCTTTCTCTCACTCTTCGGGGTGCTTTGTGGCTCTGCTTTGCTTTCCCATAAACATTTTTTCACCAGCCTCATTCTCAAATCCCTGTTCTTCATTTCACAAGGGAAAGCAAAATATTTTCCTCTAGAAGAAAGGATGTGGCTGCATCTTGTCTGCTCATGCCTAGCGAGAATGTGGGGGCAAAAGTGCACCAGACCCCGTGAGTCAGTGGGGAAAAAGGTGGAAGACAAAAAACAACCATTTGAAGGGCACAAGAGCCACCGGGGATGGTGGGACAGGAGATCAGAACTGCACTTCTTGCTGAATTTAAAGATGACCACTTAGCAGTTCAGTCCCAGGCCTTCTGTGGGATGGTTCCCTTTCCACGCTGCTTCATCTTTTCAAACAGAAAACCATTTCCCACAGAAGAGGCGGCAAAAGGGAGGTTCAAAGGCAGTGTGGGAGACAAGGCCACCTCTGCTCCTGCAGCAAGGTTTAAGTCAAGTTGCTTCCACCGGGAAAGAGGCAGGTACTAGTGAGGGTCACTGAATCTTGGCCTCTGTCTGTGCATCCACCTCGGAGTAGCAGTGATTTCAGAGGGACATGAACCTGGAGTTCGGAATGAGGGATGGAGCTGGAGGTTGTCTTGTTTGTTTTTTCCCAAGACAACAGAGAGGGAAAACTCTCCTCCTCCACCTTTGTCATCCATCCAGTCCTCGCCTGGTTGAAAAAGTTCCTGTTTTCCCCAGGAGCTCTGTGTCAAAATGCCAGTTCCATTTTTTATCCCTCACTTCCAGTTTTTTGCTCCAGCAAATGCCCTCCAAACCAGTTGGACTGTGAAGGCCTAACACAAAACAAGCACAAGGGCAAAGCTCTGGACATGAGACTGGTATAAAATCAGAATTGGAAAGCAGAGGAAATGGCTTTGCTGGGACATTAGGTGTGCAAATACAACTCATCTACTACACTGAGGAGCATCACAGTAGCACTTGCTGGGTACAACAGAAAGCAAACCCAAAAAGCAATATTGATCCATGGCTTTGACAAGAGCTCATAGACACACACACAGAGCACGTTGGAGGGAGTTGGATGATGTCTGTAAACTTAAGAGCAGCTGGATCCTTTAGAAAGGGGGGAAAAAATAATTCTGATATTGGAAGATATCAAGATATTCTCTCTCTCACAATCCTATTTCATAGGGAAGACTGAACTCAAAAAATTACTGAAAGTTTCAAAAATGTGCTTCATGCAAAGATCCCAGTAAGTTTCCAAATTTCTTGGAGCCTGGGACACCCACCTTCAAGTACTATCTTAAGGATTTTGCTGTATCAGCTACAGGAAAATTAAAAGGGACCAATATTGCCTTTAAGTCAGACAAAATTGTTCTGTTCACTTCTACAGAAATATAGGTACATATTTTTGTTTACTAATATTTTTATTAACTTTTCTTATTGGTACTAAAGTTTTGCTGAGATTACCTTTTTTTTTTAATTTATATATTAAGATGTCTTGGCAATTGTGATGTCTCAAGGATACCAAGATAGGATCACCTGTACTTAGAGTCTTCCAGTTCATTAATAAGTCTCTCCTCAAACAAATCTGAATTTACTTTGGGACCATAGATCCATCCATCCATGATTAACTCTTGGGTTTTTTTTGGCTCCTACAGGTATTCCTTGTCCAATCATCATTGCCTGGGCCATTGGCAAGCTATATTATGAAAATGAACAGTGAGTGATGTTAATATTTGTGTTGTTATAATAATATGTGTGTGTAAATATTATTATTCATGTGCAAGTTCCCTGCCTGTCATGCCTGATTTCTTACACATGGGGATGGAGAGTTTCTGTGCTCTAGGAAAAGTGTTCTTAAAGAGCTGCCAGCTCTGATCAGCTCCTCTGTCCCAAGGACAGTTTCCCAGGGGATCTCATCCACTAGTTCTTTAAACAGCTGGAAGTTCCTCTTCCAAAGTTCAGGGTTGTGACTCTGCTCTTTGCCAGAGCGTTTGTCCATTTATCTTCACCCCTGGGGAAGTGATGTGTCATTCCCCTCTGAGGTCAGGCCCGGCAAACTGGGCACAAGGACTCTCCTGAAGATTCCAAGACTCTTGGGGACAGCCCAAAATTTGGGACAGCATGGGGAAACTCCTCTTCTTCATCTGAGTATCCACTTCAGCTGTAGCTGAAGTTGTTTGGAGGTTGAACTGGGGTTCAGGTTGTGTAGCTCATCATTTGAGTTGAAAAGCTCAAAATAGCACTCAGGAAGAATTTTAAGAAAATGTTTCAACCAACTTCCTAATTTTTTTTCATTTTTGTACTTAATAGAGATTGTTTTTTTGCATAGTGAGGCAACTGTAATTGGCACTGTGGCAAATATCCTGTCTGGGGTTTCAAAAAATATGGCAACTCTGAAAAAAAAGTGCTGTTAAATCTCAATTAAAAAAATCCCACATCAGTGATTAAGGATTAATGTAGTAATTTCATTGATGGGCAGTTGTTAATGGGAAGTACATCAGTAAAATCTAATTAACAATAGCGATAAAACCAGTGGTGGATTTGGTTATATAAAGAGCTATCAGAGAACCATGAATATTAATTAGTGCTATTCAGTAGAAATGTGTTTACGTATCTGAGTCTTATCAGAACTGTCTTCCTAAATTGTCCCCTTCAATATTCAGGGAGTGTGTGTTTATTCTTCCAGAGGTAAAAAAAAAAAAAAAAAAAAAAAAAAAAAAAAAAAAAAAAAAAAAAAAAAAAAAAAAAAAAAAAAAAAAAAAAAAAAAAAAAAAAAAGAAAAAAAAAGGTTAAATGGCTTTTATTTTACACAGATGGAATGAAACTTCTGATGCACCAAGTAATTGTCAGTGATTTAGGTTTCTCCTTTTGGTTTTAAATAAATGTGCAGCGATGATTTTATTGCAGAAATAATGGCTTGTGTTGGATTTAAAGCAAGACTTCAGATGGCAGACAGTTTGCAATATCTCAGCCAAGGTCCCAGTTTGAACAGTTAGACTGTAAATATGAAATATTGCTAATCAAGTGCAGACATATATAACCTCACTGGCAAATAACTGTCCTCTCACTGTCACTCACCTGATTTAATGGGCATATTAGGAATATTTAGATTACAGCGTAACACATCTGGTTTACAGCCTAAAGGGATGAACACCAACCTAAAGAGCTGCTTGCCTTTTTGTTTGTTTTCTCCACTACCCACAAAAGGAACCTGGAATCAACAAAAGCAATCAGCTCCCCTGGAGAGAGGCCTGTGTTGGAGAACTCTTTGGCCACAACCTTGTTCCCTCAAACTGTGTGAAAGTGTGTAAATACACATGAGGCTTCACTCAGTGCAGCCTTGGTCTAATACTGGGCTCCAGATAATAAATGTCAGCATTTTGGTCTTCAGCTAAATTTAAATTCCAAAGAACAACGAGCAGCCTTTGCCCTGGAACCTCGTCTGTGCTGTGCCAGCTCTGTTCCAAATTCTTTGCTGACTTTTTCTGGCCCACTAAGTTCTGCCACATACCTCAGTCTCCTTCTTATTAGTCCCCCTGCTAAAATCCTCTGCTGGAGCAGCCAGTTTCCCAGAAACTCTTCTTCTGATAGCTCTTGGTTCCATGAGTTTCAGGCAACATAAAACAGTTCTCCCAAAATACCCTTCAAAATCTTCTCTCAAATGTAGGCCTTGCAAGTTCTGGAGAATTATGTTTCCTGCCTTGGCATATCTTATCATTTTTCTTCAAATCTTTCCATTTACATAAGAAAAAAAAAAAAAAAAAAAAAGCCAGTTTCATTCATTTAAGGCTGCCCTGGGGATTCTTCTTGGATGATAACTTACTTGGAGGAAGTGCCTTATTCCAAGTCTTTCTCTCATTACCAAATCCTGGAAAATTAGTCGCAAAATTATCCATTTATGCTAATTTGCAGCCTGTGCACCAGGGAATAACAGACTTGTTTTATATTTCTAAAATATTCAAAGCTCGCTCATTCATTTGGAACTTAAAAGATGTAGGAATTGAGTCAAGAAAAGGCAAATAATTCATGGTTCTTAGTCATATTTTTAGATACCAGCTACATATCTCAACACTGCTGTCCAGTCAGACCATCAGGAAACGGGCACCCAGCTCCTTCTGTTTTATCAAACAACACATTTTGTAGAAAGGCTTCGAGGGCATGATGTGATCCATAAGAATTCTTTCCTCATCTCAGTTTATTTGCCCTGAACTCTTGACACTGTGTCTTGCAGACAACCAGCCTCTCTGAGGCGACACATTTTCTATCTTGTTGCTTGTAAAAGTGAAAATCTGCCTCCCTGGTCTCCTTGGCTCAGGAATCACCCCTGTTTTCGTGTCTCCGGTGGCACTAACTTACTGTTTGTCACAAGGCAAACACAAGGAAGACATCATTTTTGCTGTGTAGAATTGTTATGTGGTATCCATGGCAGGGAGGAAAACTCTCAGACCCTCCAAAATCTACTCGCTAAGGGATCTGGAGCTCCAATGACCTAGACCTTAAGGAATTACGATAGCAAAGTTGTCTGTGCTTGGAGGAATCCTGGATCCAGACCACGTGGATGTGTCTGCAATACTAAATTATCTGGGCCTGGGTTAATTCCTGGGAATGGAGTCCAAACAGCATGGAGTAATTCACATCCATATTATTAAACCTTCTTGGCCTCCAAAATCAGGGTAGCTGCAGTTTGTGGACTATTGGGAATGTCCTCTGGCTCCTGCCAGCTCCAGATCTGTTACCCAAGAATAGTTTAGGAGTTGGATATTATTTGGCCTGGGCCAAAGCTGCAGCAAGGAAAATGTAAATGATTGAGTTCCGGGCTGAGCCCGGTTTCTAATTCATTTACCAACATGAATACAACATATTTGTTACTCTCGGTTAAGACAGTGAAGTGAGTGACACTGTGCTGTGAAATCACAGGGTTAGGCTGTGGTACAGCACAGCAGGCAGAAAAAAACTTGGAATTGGTGGGAGTGAGAGTCAAGTCAGTGCTGAGTCACATGTGACAAATCCAGGCTCTGTGCTGGTTTGAGGCCGCTCAGTTTACCCGAGACTTCACCTATTTTCCCTTGGTGATCCAAATACTTCCATCAGGTATTTGGCAGCTTCAAAAGGTGGCTCTGTACTGTCTGCTGGGTTTGGTGGTCATGGAATCATAGAATCATTAAAGTTGGAAAAGACCTCTAAAAAAAAAAAAAAAAAAAAAATTGGAAAAGACCCTTCACCCGAGACTGCCAGGTCTACCACTAAACCATGTTGTTTGAACACTTCCATTAAATGTTGACAACCGACACTGGAGTCCCCAGTGGTCCCCAAATTCATTCAAGGCCAATGGAATTACTCCTTATTCATCCAGTAGCTTATTTAGACAGCATTTCCCCGCACTTTGAGACATGTTTGCTAGAAGGAGCAGCCACTTTGTGGAATGTGTTTCTGGGCGCTGCAGCAGATAACAGTTGGGTTTTTTTTTTCTTAATCAAAATATTTCCTTAGTCCCTTTCTCAGGCATCTCCTGCACCCTCCCTATAGCAGGTTCTCACATTTCTTGGAAATATTTACACAGGCAATTGCCAAAACCAGAGTAGGAACGTGAATGTTTTAATGAGAGGGGGAAATGGGGCTCAGATCTGTGTCCAACAGCAGGTGCTTTGTAGCAGAAAACTCATTTCCTTTCTGATTATTTATATATGACTAAACAATGCAGTGAATAAAGGAACACCTCTCTATAGTGTCCTTCCTAAAAGACTAAAAGAAGTGAATTTAACTTTATATATGATTTTCTTATTTGTTTTGTTTCTTACAGATGCTGGTTTGGAAAGGAGCCAGGGAAATACATTGACTACATATATCAAGGGCCAGTAATTCTTGTCCTTCTGGTAAGTGTTTGTGTGGGTGGAAGGACACTGCCATCTCCTCTTGAGAGATAATTTGATAGGCATCAGTGAGGTTCCACATGCTTTTATATAAAATAAGACACAATCAAGGTCAAACATCTTCAGGTGTTCTCTGAAGTTGCCACAGTAGCTAAAACCTGCAAGTCAGAATTGAAGTGATCTGGCTTTCCTTGATCTCAGGCTGTTCTTTCCTCCTCCCTAAGAAATGCTGTTTGCCTTTGTACAGTGTTTTGAGATGTGGGAAGAAAAGATGTTGTACATTATAATATCTGCTCATCCACTTGAGGTTCTCGACAGCTAGAGCAATTTTCCACATGCATTGTTCAGAAAAATGTAATAACCATGGCTGGGAATTGTATCTCCATCTTTACATCCCCATCATTGCTGTGTGCTTATTTTTAGCTTTCCTGTTGTTAGGTTCCCTTTTCAGTGCCGCCCACACTTATCAAGCTGTTTATCTGTTTACCCAACACTGTCTCCTGTGCCAAGCAAGAGTAGGCAGAGGAAGAAGGAAACTCATTCATAAACCATTTTGAGCCCTCAGCTGAAGGGCAGTGGTGCTTTCCCAGAACATACTGAGTGTGGATGGAAAAATATCAGTGCCACGGGAAAGGATAAGGCTGAAAAACCCAGTTCTGCTCTTGGAGGCAGATGTCCCAGCAGAGAATTCACAGGGCTTGGTGGGTTCCCCTCTCTGAGGGGACCAGGACTCACCTCAGCTGTCCCTTCTGTCTCTCAAATCCCCACGGAGAAGGTGCAGATGCTCCAGAACAGGCACCACTTCCAGCTTCGTGCTCTCACCTTGTCAGTCCTGTGTTCATGTGATTCAGCATGAAAAAAGCTTCCCTGTTGCCTAGGAAGCCAACTGCTACTCTGAATGTGTCCTGACATCAGGAGAGGTAATTTCTGTATTAATTGTTCAGATGCAGCAAACAGATCACATAGTGCACACATGAAAAGAGAAGAAAAACCCCTCGTAGTAGGAGTCTGGTTTTATGTAAAAATTCTTTTCATGTGCTAAGGACAGAAGTAACAATTGGTGTGATACACACACATGTGCCACTAAGGGAGTCACCCCAAAAACCCAAACAGCTTCAGGGTAAATTGACTCACTGATACAGAGACTAACTCACAAATAAATCCTATTTGGACAACACAAGGTAGGAGGTTTGTGACAGAGCATTTGGGTTTCCCATCGTTTCTTAGAAGTCTGTGAATCTCTGAACCCACCATAACCCCCTTTAGTCCACAAGATCTGTAAAATCCTTGGGCAGCATCTCTAGCAGACGTCATAGGTAGCTTAGTCATGAAAATACCTTTCTTGTCTTTAAAGCACTTTAAAGACCCCAAGGAGATCCAGAAAATGGAGGTACAGTTGGGGGCTGCCTCTATATACAGATCATTATTATCTGCCTTTAATTTAGAACAGCCTTGAGACCCCTCCAAACTGAGCCTGTAACTGAGGAGCCCTGACCTGACACTGTGTAATGAACCTGCCTACCTTGGCCTGCCTGCACTTGAGCTCTAATTAAGCCACTAATGAGCTAACAGCAGTAATTGCACTGTAGGGGGGGAAGCAGCTGATACAATTTAGAGAAGTATCATAAGGGCAAGCCCTTCCTCCCTTCCCCTTATGGTTTCTCCCATCAAAAAGCAGTGCTGCAAGAGGAAAAGAGCTCTCTGGAAACAAGATCTAAAAGGCAAATCTGAAAATTCCTCTTATGTGCCCCCCCCCTTTTTTTTTTGAACTATCAGATGAGTTTTGTGTTTAATTATAATGCACAACCCCACAGTGTCTTAGAGCAACTTGACAGGCTCATTTTTTGATCCTTATGTGAATGAATTCAAACTATATATAATGATTCAAGCATCACTTATTTTATTGGAGTTACTGACCTTTTCAAGGGTGCTGTGAAAAGTGATGGATTAAGAGCACTGAAATTTGACTTCTGCCATGTACTCAGGGCAACAAAGTCAAGCATCACCACCCTCATATGTGATTATGTCTCTGCCTGATCACAGAGGGGGACAAAGTGCTGCTTTCTTCTTCCCTCCAGTGAACAATGGTCACCAAAAAATGGAAAACATGAAGATTTCAAGAACAGTGCAACTTTGTGACCTCTTTCGATCACAGCTCATGAGTTTAACTTGAATTAATGAAGAATTTAAGTGGAGTTGAAGCTAAAATTCATGTTTTGTGAAAGAACATGCATAGTCCTGATGGGACAAGGGAGAACAGCCTTAAGCTGATGAAGGGTAGGTTTAGATTAGATATTTAGGAAGAAATTCCTCCCTGTGAGGGTGGGGAGGCCCTGGCACAGGTTGTCCAGAGAAGCTGTGGCTACCCCATCCCTAGAAGTGTCCAAAGCCAGGTTGGACAGGGCTTGGAGCAACCTGGGCTAGTGGAAG